TCTTATTCGTCTTCTTAATATTATTACTACTATTATTATTATTATTATTAATATTGTTGATTTATTTATTTATTTATTTATTTATTTATTTATTTATTTATTTATTTATTTATTTATTTATTTATTTATTTATTTATTATTATTATTATTATTACTCGTGATCCCTCTTTCTGCTTCTGCTGCCCACCTCGGTCGTGGCGAAGCGAGGCCGCGACCCGCAGGCGCGTCACCCAGCGGCCGCGCTCCAGCAGGTGCCCCGATGCTCCGGCTGCGCGGCGGGCGCCGCCCGAGGCGCGGGCGGGCGCCTCTGCCCTCGGGCGAGGGTGGGCGCGCCCAGCTCCTTCTCTTCTCCTCCTCCTCCTCCTCCTCCTCCTCCTCCCTCCTCCTCCTCCTCCTTTCCTCCTGCTCTTCCTCCTTTCCTCCTCCTTTCCTCCTCCTTTCCTCCTCCTCTTCCTCCTCCTTTCCTCCTCCTTTCCTCCTCCTTTCCTCCTCCTCCTCCTTTCCTCCTCCTCCTCCTCCTCCTCCTGTCCTCCTCCTCCTTTCCTCCTTTCCTCCTTTCCTCCTCCTCCTCCTCCTCCACCTCCTCCTCCTCCTCCACCTCCTCCTCCTCCTTCCTGGGGGGACTGAGCCGAGAGGAGGAGTCCAAGGCGAGGAGGCGAACGAGGGGGAGCTGGAGGCCGATAAAGGAGAGGAGCACCAGACTGCGGGCGAGGAGGAGGAGGAGGAGGTGGATGACAGGGAGGACGAGGCGGAGAGGGAGGCGACGACCGGGAGGGGCAGGAGGGGCAAGAAGACGACGGAGGACCGTGATGTTGAAGAGGAGGAGGAGGAGGAAAGCCAGACGACAAGAACAGGGAACTTGAGGACGATAGGAGTAAAGGGAGGATAAGGAGGAGATTCTGGAAGACACGGAGGATCGCGAAGAGAACGAGGACGACGAGGCAGAGGCGGAAGAGGAGGACGATGCAGAGGATGGGTGTCGAGGGCGAGCTCGGCGGCTACTGCGACGACGGCGACGAGCAGAAAAAGAAGAAGAAAGACGATGAGGATACAGTCGAGGCGTTGAAATAAGACCCACTTGGGACTCTGGAGAGGATCTGGTGATTGGCCCTGTCCGTAGATCTACGTAGGTCGTGGAACCTGCTCGTGGCCGAGGCTCGCCGTGGTTAGGAACGCCCCTTCGTTACTTCGTTAGCGTTCCTCCTGGCAGTGCCGTGATTGTAACTAGCTGGGCAGGAGGAGGAGGAGCCCCCCTTCCCAATGTCCCCTCCTCCTTTTCTTCCTCCTTGTCCCCCTCATCCTCCACCCCACCTCGCCCCCTCTCCCGCCATAGTTCCCCCCATCTCCCGCCATGTCTCCCCTCCCGCCTCCCCCTCTTCTCCACAATTGCACAATATGAAAACTACTCTCCTCTCTCCCCCGAATCTGTCCTGAGTGTGGCCGCCCCCTTCTGCGTACTGTTTGTTGTTCAACGCATGTTGTGCGCGAGTTTGTTTTTCCTCGTGCGTTCTCACTATGATCCCTCCCCGTCCTGTTTTTTACACGCAGGATTTGCGCGAACTGGCTTTTGAATTGTTTTCTGTTCCATCCAACTGTTTGTATTGTTTCACAAATGGTGCTCTCGCTGCAGCGTGGGTCTCATGTTCGGATCGGCGGTTGTGCTCTGTTCAGGATGGCGCTGCCGCCCCAGCGTGGGCAACTGTTCTGGATCCCGCATGTCTCGCAGGTCTCGCAGTCACCACAGGTCCCCGAGGTCCCGCAGGACCCGCAAGTGTCGCAGGTCGCCCCACAGGTCCCACCAGTCTGACAGGTCCCACGAGCCCCACTTGTGTTGCAGGTCTCGCATGCCCCACAGGTCCGGCAGGTCCGACAGGGCCCGCAGGTCCCAGAGGTGTCGCATGCCTCGCAGGCCCCACAGAAGTCGCCGAGGCCCCGCCTGTGCCACGGGTCCCACAGGTCTCGCAGGTCCCACGGGTCTCACAGTTCCCACATGTCCCACAGGTCCCACGGGTGTCGCAGGTCTCACAGGCCTCACAGACCACAGAGGTCCCCCAGGTCGCACAGGTCTCACAAGTTTCCCTTTGTTCGACGGCGCATGTCACGATAGGGTTTTTTTGTCGGAGCTCCAGGTCGGCCATGTTACGCGTCCGCGGATTGAGAACAAAAAACAGCGCAGTGGGAATGGTGGGAGGGAGGGATAGGATGTCAGGTATGGCGCGAGCGCACCTTGCTTGCCCTCTTCCCCTTCTCCCAACTCCCCCTCGTCCTCCGCGCAGTCTCCTCAGTATCCTTCCCCTCCTCGTCCGCACTCCTCCATCATCACCCCCTGCCCTCGTCAGTTCCCCCCCTCCTCGTCCTCGTTGTGTCCCCTTCCTCGTCCTTCTCTCGTCTCATGCCTTGTTCCTCCCCCCTCCTCTCCGCGCCGGAGGTGAGGATCTCGGACTCGGGGTGGGGAGTTCCCCGCGACGACGTGAACAAGGCTCCGGGGGGAGGGGGGGGGGAATGAGAGGGAAACCCGAGATACCGATACCGAGGCTTAGGTCGGGACTGTCCCCCTACAGGCGGATTTTCGACGAAAAATAAAAGATACTCAAAAACTATTCCAAAATGATCAAAAAGTATTCAAGACATAGTCCCCAGACTATTTGGTTACTGTCTTTTAATACTCCCCCTGTAGACGGACAGGCCCGCCTTAAACCGAGGCCCCCTCCCACGTTCTCGCTTCTGCTGGGGCCTCCAGCGGGAGCCCTCGTCGCCACGCGGCCAGCTTCGCGCGGGCGTCCCGGGGCTGGCCCCGGGAGCAGCGGTGCTGGCGCACGTGGGCCCCCCCCCCCCCAGGAGTGCCCCCAGGAACGGGATGGGGAGGGGGCGGAAAAGAGGGGGGTGATGACTAGGGGGGGGGGGGGTGTTCATGGCGGGGG